TTGTTATTTCCCAAAGATAACATTATAACTATGACTTTTAAGATAAATTACACATATACAAATCTTTCATATTAATCCATTTACAGCATATGTAAATAGTGTTTAGCTTCAATGGTGCTTGCATATAATTAATATCCTACAATATTAGCTGGCATGATTTATTTGACAATTAAAAAATTGTTTTGGTATTGCAGAGAACCTGAGTTTGATTCTCAATATCCACATGGTGGCTCACAATCACCTATAATTCTAGTTCCAGGAGATTCAATGCCCTCTTCTGACCTCTGAGAGCACCATGCATTCATGTAGTGCTCATATGCATGCTCAGGTAAAATACTCACAAAAAATAAATAAATCTAATTAGGAATAAACACCATAAAGCTGCAGCAGAGCTAAAGTGTGTGTGTAGAAAGAGAGAGAGCCAAAAACATACAAAGCAAAATCTAGATTCAAGTGTTCTATTATTTTATAGGGAGCTGAAAGTCCTTGTAAAATTGTAAGGCTTGGGTAAGAGGGACCAAGCTATGTAATCTAACAGGGCTCAAATAGTGCTATATATTTGCACTCAATTTAACTATGACTTTAAGATAAATTAAACATATACAGGTTTTTCATATTTATATATTTAGTTCACTTTTCAACTTCAGAATTCGTAAAACACCTCAGTGTTACAAACGTCAAAAAGCTTTTATTTTTACCAAAACAAAGCATGTAATGCATCTTTTGGAACGTGAGTAGAGAGGCTTGAAAATGCCTCAGCAGACAGAAGAGCCTTCTGGGGTGGGAGATGGCTGGGATTAAGAATATTGCTACCACAGAACAAGAAAATTTGAACACAGGGAACTTCCCAGAGACTCATACTCCAACCAAGGACTATTCATGGAGATAACCTAGAACCCCTGCACAGATGTAGCCCATGGCAGGTCAGTGTCCAAGTGGGTTACCTAGGAATGGGAAGAGGGACTGCCTCTGACATAATCTGATTGGCCTGCTCTTTGATCACCTCCCCCTGAGGGGGGAGCAGACCTTACCAGGCCACAGAAGAGGACAATGCAGCCACTTTTGATGAGAACTGATAGACTAAGATCAGAAAGAAGGAGAGGAGAACTTCCCCTATCAGTGGACTTGGGGAGAGGCATGCATTCACAAAGGGAAGGGAGGGTGGGATTGGGAGGGGAGGAGGAGGGGCTTATGGGGGGATAAAAAATGAATAAAGTGTAATTAATAAAAGTTAAAAAAAAAGAATATTGCTACCATGAGGACCTGAGTTCAAAGCCCAAGAACCCAAGTATAAACCATGAGCAGGGTCTCACTGGAGCGCTGGCCACTGACTTAGCTCCAGTTTCTGTCAGAGATCTCATCTCAAGGGAATAAAGTAGACAGGAGCAGAACAGGGTGCCCAATGTGTTCCCCTGATCTCTGTGAGCATGAACACCACTGCACACAACTCTGTATGTGTGTGTCTGTCTCTCTCCCTCTTTCTCTCTCTCCTGCACCCATTCTCTGTCTTTCCCTCATTTCCTTCCCCTTGTATCTTTCTCTTCCTCCCCCTCCCTTTTTTTTCTACACACACACACACACACACACACACACAAACATACATAGACAGAATTTTTAAATTATTCCCATGTTGCTAAGGAGTCCTTGCTTCGGTCTGTCTTCCTCATATACTTCAACACAGAGAAACAAGAAATAGGTTGCAGTATAAAATTATTTAAAAATAAAAAAATATTTTTTTAAAAAAAAGAAAGAAATAGGCTGCAGCATCAAGACTGCTGAGAAATACTAAATGCTAAACAGACAGCACCAGTATTCCCACATATCCCCCAGTGCACCTCTGCTGAGCTTTGTACTACCGGGTATGAGGGCGCTGTTTCAAAGTTTCCCATCTCCATAGCGTTGTTAATGTTCGTTTTACTTTTCTATCCACATTCTGCTCCTAACGGTTTATGTATTCTCTAACATGACAATTTTAATTCCACCATTACTCTTACTTGAGATTGCTACCAACTGAAAGTGTGATTAACAAAATTTAGGCTTTTCAAAAGCTCACTTTACAAAATTCATCCAATCTTTGCTATGCCCAGTTACAAAGACACATTCTTTTAGGTATTCATTCAATTGCTGTCTACTTCCACACTATCAAAATGCTCGATGAATTTTCTGTTTGTTGCCATGACAAATAACTCCCAATAGTGCTTTTAAAAGCCTACAGTTACTAACATTCAGAAGTCGGAACTGAGTTTAACTAGACTGAAAGTAGAATGGCAAGGGACAGGTTCTTTTCTGGACAATCTATAAAGAAAATAATCTCCCCTTATCCCTCCTTGGAGGCAGCAAACATGCTAGCTCATTCTCATTCTCGAGGCTTGAAACTGCCAGTCTTTCTCTCAAGCTCTCACTCCAGATGTCTGACTCTAACCCTGACCTTCCAGTCTCCTTTCTTTTATATGAATCCTTATAATTACACTGGGTCCAAACAGATATTATGGTATAATTTCATCTGCATCCTCCATTTCCCTTTTATTTTATTCCTATATTTAAAATAAAATCACTTTCACAGTTTTTTTGCAGTTCAACAAGAGAAACTACAGAAAGCACAGAAATCCTGGTAGATAATGGTACATTTTAAAATAAATAGTGGATCACTCAAGGAATCAGAGAGAAAAATTTAAAATCCAGGAGACCAAAGAAAATGAGAGTACAACCTAACTGAGTCTCTGGGGCCAGCCAGAGACTACAGCTACAAGTGCAGAAGTGGAGAGAGAGAGAGAGAGAGAGAGAGAGAGAGAGAGTTCAAATAAACAACCTAATGATACAGCTCAAGGCTCTTGAAAAGCAACAAGAAATCAATCCCATACCAGTAGATAGCAAGAAAAAAAAAAAAAGATTAGGGAAGAAATTGAGATAGAATTAGGAATGAAACAGAGACTAAAAGAACAGTACACAAAATCAACCAGACAAAAGAGAGTTGGTTCTTTGTAGAAGTTAGTTAGTGAATGGCAAACCATTAGCCAATCTGTCAAGAAAGGAAGAAGATACAAACCAACAAAGTTAGACCTTAAAATAGTGTCCTGATAAAAGACTCAAATACAATTTATTAGGAGATATTTTGAAAACATAAACTTCCAAAATCTCAAAGACCTAGAAGAAATTGTTGAGTTTTTAAATGCATGTGATCTACCAAAATTAAAGCCAGAAGATGTAAATAATATAAATGAATCAATTATAAACAATGAAATTGGAACTAATAAAGTTTCACTTCATGGGAAAACCCAGGGTCAGACACATTCACTGCCGGATTCTATGAACCTTTTTCTTTTAAATTCTATTTTTTTTTATTAAAAATTTGTTATGAAGAACTTGGAGAAAACCCAGCAAACTTGCCCAGACCAGAAGTCATTACAAGGAACTTCTTGACACCGCACCTTACACTCCCACTCTCAGACATATTTTTGTGTACTTATTGCTTGTCATGGGTCTATTTAAATTATTTACATTTTCTGAAAGGGAAAAGGAGGTTACAGAAGACTTGCTTTGCACCAAAAAACTGCCTTTGTCAGCATTTGTTGTTAAACTGTCATGACTTTCCTATTCTGTCAAGACAGGCCTGAAGATGCTGTCATGTTCCAGCGTTCCTTACTTGCTCAGCAGGTCCTGTCTCAGAAAGGAGGGGAGATGGGAACGAGGGATGTCAGTGCGGAAAGATAGCATCAGGAGTCTTTATATGAACCTCACAGCACAGCAGAGACAATATCCTGTGCCCTGTTTATCTTCTTAAACTTTCCTTTACTCAGCTTAATTTCTCACCTTTAATTTCTACCCTGTCTTATCAGTCCTATGTTCTGGCCACTGTAGCCCCACCTTCCCAACTGTACATGGGCCTTTGTTGTTGCTTCTGCTAGCAACAAGCAGTGTTTCCACATCATTTTTCCCCAAATTAGAGGACCCTTCATTTTCCACACTGTCAGCATTGGTTGCGAATGCTCCTCCCCCTCCAAATGCTCATATTACCGTATTTACCTTAAGCCTAATAAGGCTGGCTGTTTTTTATTATGAATTATGTTTTTGTTTCCTCTGGGTCTTAAGTTTAACGTTGTCTGAGGATATCTTTCTACTGATCTAAGCGTCAGGAATTAGCGGGAGTGGGAGTAAGAGAACGTTATGAGATGACGGGAAAGCAACAAAGGCTAAGTCATAAAACAGCAAAGGAGCTACAGAGTCTGGTTGGATCTTAAGGCCAACATTTCCCTGGTTCCTGAGGCTGTCTTGATATTTCTGACTAATTGTGTTTCTGCTCACTTCTATCCTTTCTTAAGGCCGATTCTAACTGATGTTTTCTCTGTAGTACACAAAACTAGCCGAAACATTTTCATAAGTAGGAGCCTCAGTGGGGCCAAAGCAGAGGATGAGTCAGAAAGTAGAGATGTCAAGAGACTCTGCGGAACTAAATAGTTCTCAGACTTCTTGGAGTTGAAAGATTGAAAAGACACCAGGAGTAATTGAGCACTGTGTGTGTGTGTACGTGTGTACTTACACATGTATGTGTGTGAACGATGACTTTTAAAAAACTGAAAGAACAGCGATGCACACATACAGGTATTAACAGCAAATAGAACTGAGAACAGTGAACCAAATAGAGGTTAAGACCTTACTCAGAAGAAATTACATTTCTGTGACCACAGAACTGCCTTCACAAGTAGATTGACCTCAATCTTAAAAGCCAGGCCAAGAACGCCAACCGAGGAGACAGAAACTTCCCCACGAGAGTTGGAGTTTCGAATTATGGAAACCACAGTTACTCTGTACCAGCTTGCAGTAGAGAAAATGTTTTTGTTTTGTGTTTAATGGGCCAACTTTTCCTAGAGACTCTCCTTTCTTTTCTCTTCCCGGTTCCCTTCCCTGGTGTGTGTGTGTCTGGCTTTGGTGGTTTGGAGGAAGGCGATTGGGCGGGGAGCAGGACTCGGTTCTCCAGCTGAGCCTGGGAGGAGTGGGAGGGACTCGGAGCAGCGGGTTTCTCACACATAATCTTCCTCCTGTGCCTGCGGCCGGACCCCAAGGCGAAGAGCAGGGGCGCACAGCCGGGGACCCAGCCTAGCGAGGACACCTGCAGCCGGCGCCTGGCCTCGCGTGACCGCGCCACGGTAGGTTTGCTCAGCTACTTGCTTTTCTAGCGTTTCGGTGCTGGTGAAGGCGGAGAGGCAAAGCACGGAGAGGTGCCAAGAGGTCCTGTGGGGTAGGGAAGAGGCTCGGGAGAATTCTTCGGGTCGTGGCAGGGAGAAACAAAGAAGAGAAGGTACTGTTTTCAGCAAGGTGGGGAACAGGCTCTGGGGGTGCTCCCGCCGCGCCCAGAGAGGGGCAGGTTGACAGAACGCGCCGGGTGTGCGCGCCGTGGCCTTGGGTGCCCTGGGTGAAACCGCGTGGGGCCGACAGGTGCGGCTCCAGCGTCACCTTTCGGTCCACCGCCAGCGCCGCCGCCCTCCGTCTGCGACCCAGTGCGCGTGGTTGCGCTGTGTAGGGGGGTTGTGCTTGCCGGCTCCAGGAGGTCGCGAACCTCGGTCCCCAGGTCTGGAAGCCCCTGAGTAAGTGATAGCGGTGCCCGCGCCGGCCGGGACTCCCCCGGGCATGCGGCCCTCTGCGGAGTCCTGGCTGAATCCTTTCCCACGCCCTCCTGAAGCTTGCTCAGCCCTGGGAAGCGGGATCACGGTTCCCACGCTAGGGGCGAAGCGAGGAAGGGGCTCCCCGGCGGGATCGCGGTCCCCCGGAGCAGCTCTGGCTGTGTGCTGTGGGCGGTCAGTGGGGCGTGCAAGGCGTGGGGAGACTGTCTCCCACTCCGGCCGCCAGCCCTGAGCAGCTGTGTGGCCTCCCTCACCCGGCAGCAACGCAGGGATGCCTGGACCTGCAAGCCTCCAGCTTGTGGCCTTATCTGGCTCCCTCCCCCTAACTGGTCCCCAGAACGGCAGGCTGCTCAAAGCCCCAAAGAACACAAACTGGAAACTTCCAGCCCCTGTTGGGCTCGCAGCAAAGTGTGCCTGCAGGCTGGGTGTGAGCGCCTGACTGCTCCTTACCAGCCTTTCTCTCCTTACTGCCTATGATAAGCTGGAAGGCAATGGGCAGGCGTCGCAACAGTCTCCTGGGCCTATCTGAGCGGGCAGCCTGTCCTGGGTCCTCAAGAGTTGCCTCTAAGTGACTTTTGTGGGAGAGGCTGCCTCGCAGTGTGGTCACGTGGTTCCAGGGTATTCCTGAGCCTTGTTTTGCTTTCTGGGATTCACCCAGTTGTTGCTTCGTTTTGCATTTGATGAACAGTTTACAGCGTCTGAGGCAAAGCAAAGGCATGTCCAGCTCACTCACAGAAATGGTTGGATGCATCTTGGTTTCCAGCATATGGAAACCTTTCTGTATTGAAAGGAATGTAGATTAACTTCACTTACATTTTCGCAGTGGTGTCTTAGGATCATCCCTCTAACAACGGATCATGTCTGCATTCAGGCTGGCACCGGGTTGACTTGGAGCAGTGCTCGCCTTGCTGTTGCACGCACTTGGAGACACTTAAGCAGTTTCGTGTCTTGGTTCATGATGTAGGCACAGTCTGCTGTTTTTCCTAAACTGGTGATTTTTTTTTTTTTCTCTTCAGGAAGGATCGTATCAGGTACTTTATTATCAAGAGCGGTGGTCACCAAGGGTGGCAAAGGATGACATCATGAAACTGTCTAGAGTTCTGACGCACTCTAGGATGTTGCTTTTGTTCGATTATTAAATGATTTGGTCTGTGGATCTATTTGAGGGGTTTTGTAATGTCAGAAGTAAAACCAAATATTTGAGCTGTTACATTTTTAGGGAGATAGAATGAACTCTTCAGCAGTACATAGAAATTTTGGACACAACTGGAAAGTGGGGACCAGAGTTAAAACTTGTAAGCAGAACATTTTTCTAGTCCAGATCCTAGCCTCTGTACATAAAGAGTTCGGGAACACAGACTAGCAAAAGACTCCAAGAATAGTGTTGCAATAATTAAACATCTCAAATGCTGGTGCGGAGCTGGAGGGAGAAGAATCTACACACTGCCTGGGAACTGTAAACTTGGGAAGCTACTGTGGAAATCAGGACGGAGGCTCCTTAAAGTATCTAAAAATAGAAGCACGGCATGATCGAGCTATACTCCTTTATGTATATGCAAGGAAGATTTTGTGTCAGCACAGCACAGAGATATTTACTAGACACAATCGCAGTCTAGTGCTGGGCAACAAGTGAGCTGATAAAAACAACCTGCGAAATGTGCGTGAGGCTGTATCTCTGTACAGAGGAATTAAGTATGGCAATTGCTGGGAAATGGATGGGACTGGATATCACTCACAGAGAAATAAGAAAGAGCAAAAGCATTTTCCTTCATATGCAGAATGTAGAGTTATACATATATAAATATAATACACAGATATATATGTGTGTATAACTATACATCTACGGAATAAGAGAGGGGAAGAAGTGAGCTTAGGAGAGGAGGGATTGGGGACAAAGAAAGAAAACTGACTATATAAAATGTGAAAGCAGGAGGAAAAACTCTTTTGAGGGAAGAGAAGACCCACAAGTTGAGGAGGGCAGGGGGCAAATGAGACTGATGGCGGCTGTAATAACGCATATATATGAAAATGCCCTGCTTTGTACACTAAATAAAATACACCAATAAAAAGAAAATTCATATGATATGGTCTCATAAGTACACTGTTCAATGTATCACTTAGCAAGCTTGGTGAGACTATCATTTACTATTTACTATTTATTTAATACTTAATAGTGATACTATTTACTATTAAGTAAAATTCTGTTAAGTTAACTTAATAGAAGTAGGCGATGCATAGATGGGTACGTACACTGTAAGATCTTTCCAGTTTATGACAGAAAATAAAAGACCTTATTGGAAGCCAGCTGAAATGAAAAGTAGTTTAGCTTGGTGTGGTGTCTCATAGCGAATGGCATGCCTCGGAAAGACCCCATTTTACATGGTCAGGCACAATAAGTGCCTGCCATCGTCTGCCCCTTGAGAATGAGGAAGGAAACATGAGGTTATGATTTATACCCAGCAATAGGAAAGAATCCACACTACTTAATGCTAGTGTCTCGTAACTGTGGCTTATTAGATAATCTTGTTTCAAGACATTCTGAGAAGTTGTTTTACTGTGTAGACTTATTCACTACAAGCTTAAGTAATGACACTAAAATTATGCTGTTATGAGTAATAGATCCGTAGAATACTTAGAGGATTAAAATTTCAATAATTTGTCATAGATATTTTCAGACTTGAAAAATCCTCCTTTATTGAACAATTGAAACCTTGGAACATTGGGTTGTGTCAGAAACCATGAAAGAAACATGAGTTCTCTTATTTGCATTTGCTAGCACTAGTGAGGGAGTGGACGGAGAAGGGAGACTACGGAAACAGTTCACCGGTTACTCTGAGACAGCATCGTATGTTCCCGCAAGTCTCTGATGAACCCTTAAGAAGTAAATACAAAAGTAGCTTTAAGTTTGAGGTGTTTTTTTTTTTTTTTTTTTTTTTTTTTGTGAGAGGAAATGGAAAGATGAGTATTATTTGGGCAAAACAAGTCAAAATCTGTTCTTGATGGGGAATAAATTGTAGTAAGTGACATTTTAGAATTACTTTCCGTGTCAGATAGAGAGGGAAATGTTTTGCTTTCCTTTCCTTAGGGAAGATGCTCAACGTGTGTGGAACTATTTTATGTCACTTGATAAGAGCTATTTACCCAGGAGGTTTTGCTTGGGCATCCTGCTTATTACATCTGCATATTTGTAGAAGGAATTGTTCCTCGTTCTAACACATCCCCAATGACAGTGACTGTCATTTCCAGGCCATCTTGGTCTAGCCCCCGTTGAATGTCTGGGCAGCAGTTTCTTTAGCTGTCACTATCTTTCCCTAGTACAAGAGCTTTCAACAATCTTGAGTTCTCTTGTTGAACCGGTTTCTATGGATCAGTTGACTTAAAAGAGGCTGGGATACCTTCTTGTCCACTCAGTATCATACCCGAGTACTCATTTTTTTTTTTACAATTTCTAATTTCACTCATCTATTTTGTGGCTGTGTGCGTGTGCATGTGTAAGCATGCTCATACCACAGCATGCATGTGGAGGTCAGAGGGCAAGGATAACTTTCAGCTACCTGGACATCTCCTACCCTGTGAGTCCAGGGAACAAACTCAGGACCTTAATTGTGTCAAGAACCTTTTCCTACTTAGCCATCTCCTGAGTTCTTTTATTCTTTCATCTTTCTTCAGAATAGTTTTGAAATGCTTTACCTAATTGATATGTATCTTCTCCTCTCCTGTGAGTCTAGGCATGCAGGCTTTCACTTATTCTATCCCAGAGCTCTTACAGGAAACATGTACAATTGTTTTCAGAGATAAAAGGAGCTTGGGGCTAGGTACTCCTTGATCGCACGATGAGAGAATAATGCTTATTAAAACTGAAGAGGCTCTGGGGCATGGTTTCCTCACCACAGAAATGTGACTGTTGGTGTCTGTGGTTATGGTTTCCTTGCCTGGCATGCTTTCCATCTGGTATTAATCTTTTATTAAAACAAACCTTTCTTTTTATAAAATGGAAGCCATTTCAGACTCAGAAACCAACTACTCCTACACAAGAAGGATTAGCCAGAAGACAGCAGGAGGTGATGGCTGAAAGGAAGCAAGGTAAACGCCCACATTAACCCTGTGGCCACCCTAGCTTTGTATCCCATTCTGTCCTTCCACGTGACACTGAAGGTGGCTGTTTCAATGACTGCATCTCTGCCCAGTTTCAGCTCTCTACTCTTGGACTTGTAAAAGCTTGTGGGTGTCGAATGGGCTGCACGTTGCTGGCACTGAGCTAAGGTGTTTGTTTTGTGTCTGATGCCACAAGTTATATTATTCAGGAGCACCATGCAGAGCACAGCACTTATTTGGGGAGCACCCAATGGATTGTGTGTGATGAGCGTGGCCACACGGGTGTCCTTCTGTGCTTCTATACAGGCTCTCCGGCATGTTCAGAACCACCTGATCTGGCATTTTGGTTACCAATAGCACTTTCAGCCTCATGCTTCTTACCCATCCACTCTGTCAGCCTTTCCTCTTCCTTAGAATCTACACTAACAGAA